TTAAAATGTGTTTTTGTTAATCCTGGCTTGGACTGAGTTGGATTCACAGTTCCCAAGATAATATAATATCACTTATTACTCTTTAGATGTTTACAGACCTAGAACAACAGCAATCCACAAAGCAACCATTTGAAAGGAATAAAATGCAACCTCTAAAGCATTAGCAAAAGAGCATCAGTCCTGCCCTCTTAACTGTGACAAGAAATTCTGCCAGCAGTGTCAAGTGACACAGGAATGCACAGGTGCCAACACTCGGTGCTACAAAGCCCCCAGGTTACTCTGACTGGCCCTGAAATGATTTCGGGCCTGCCAGGTATGCAGAGGCACTGCCACGTACATCACCTTCAGAGCCATTCTCGTGGGTGACTCCAGAGAGATGTGCCCACAGGCTGGGACCGTGCAAAGGTAGACAGACAAATGTGCAGCAAGCCAAGCACCTGGGGAAAACAGGGAACAGCACAGACCAAAAAAGAACAGGCCGAGTGCTCTGTGCTTTGTGTGTGGGGGTATGTGCAGAAAAAAGTAATCTGTGGTGGTGAAAGAAACACCTGCATGTTTTTGTGGCTGATGAAGTGGCTACCAAAAGGCCAAGAAGACTACATCAACTTTTGAAGTAGAGTTGGTATCTATGTCAATGATGTGGTAGGCCAAGCAGGGTGGTGGGGCATTCCTCCCCGCAGGGGTGGATATCCTCAACCCACTAATGCAGAGTCTTTGCTAAATTAAGTGTTTGAACCACTTGTTCTTTTCTTACATGTTTGCACTCGTGCAGAAAGAGCAACCGCAGACAGGCAGCCCTCTTGGCATAGGAGGAATTGCAGCAAGACTTGAGACACTTGGGGAAGAAAACTCCCCAGGCGAGGACTTGGAGGCACCTAATCCTTCAGCAATACAAGGTTAGATTAGGAAGTTGAAGGCAGCACTCATTCTGCACCTATTTTTACAGCTCAAACAGAGTAAACACCATTCTCCCAGGAAAAAGCAGTGTGTCTTGGGCCTATTTGCATGGGACTAGGCTTAATACCCAGCCACTCTCCCCTGCAAATTCCATGAAGAAAGAGACAGGCACGAGTGAACCACAGAAGCAGTGACTCAGAGTGCAGAAGTTACCCTTCGCCTCTGAATCATTCTCTAGGTGTGCCTCTTCCTCCATCATCTACCAGGAGTGCTTGGCTGCTCAGCTGGAACATCTCGGGGTATAGCTGAGGAGAGACCCCTTTCACTTTTCCGTGTGGAGCTGCAGCAACACCCACCTTTTAATTCCAGCACTTGTATTTCACTGTTGCTGGGTGGATGGGAAGGGACCAGGCTAGGAGTTTGTTGTCACCTCACAGCCTGTAGCTACCCCAAAGCATCCATTTGCAGCTTCCTTCTATTACATCTGCAGGCCAGCTGCGATGGTAGGGTATGATTCCCCCTCCTCCCCCAGTACAGCCCTGTCAGCACACACAATTACACTAATACAACTTTCTTTTACTAGGATTACTGGAGGTTATATGAGGTGGACTAGTGCTGGTGGCTTTGTCCCACCATGAGTATGAATCACAGTTCTGCTGGTACAATAGCTCCTTTTAAATCAGAAGTGCTTTGTCCATCTAGCACAGTCTACTGTTATTTCTACATCTGTAAATCACTTTTAACATAAAACTTAATGATCTGCATCCCCCTTTTTCATGAACCCCTGCCAAACAAGAGCACAATGCTGCAGCTGTAGCTGTTAAGCTATGTGGCAGCAAAGCACTCCATTAATACCTCATGCTCAGCAGTTTGTGATGCATGAGAGCTGAATAATTATGCCCTTGTTACCCTCCAGTGAGAGGCACAATTGCCAGAAACAAGTGTTTACAATTAGAAAAAAAACTGTATCAAGTCAAGGACAACATAGGTTCATTCATAAAATGAGCCTTTCTGAGCAAAGGACTGTGAGGCACAAAACAGGCTTACGTTAACGAGGCACTTGTTTCTAGAGCTGTATTGTACCCCCTCAGAGAGACCTCCATAGCCGCTTTATCCCAGCTGTTTTGAGAAACTAGCAGGCAGAGCTTGAGCCAAAGCTCTTGTTGTTACGGAATTGCACTGATAGGGAGGTTTAGTTCAGATTTGAGGTAGAGGAATGGGAAGCATCAAAGAGGATGTGAGCATCAAAACCCATTGATCTGAAGCACTTGAAACAGAGCAGACAGGCAAAAGAGACTGAAAACGGTTGTTAACAGTGACATTAGGAGTGGTGAGTCTGTTCTCCTTGCTGAGGATGCCTTGCTGCTCATACCAGGATAGCAGGTCCACACCTTTGGTTAGTGGAGTGCAGAGACGTGGTACAATTAAGTAACTCTCCCTTCCTTACCTACAGCTCAACATGAATAGGGATTGCAGAATTGTATCTGCACTGATATTTCTGGAAGAGCGACAGCTGGTGCAAAGGAAGTAGTTAAAAGGAGGGCTGCAGTGCAGACAGACTTGCATTATTTTGAGCAACATTGCATCATTCTCTAAGCAAGGGCAGAGCATATGGTAACAAAAAAGCTTGTCATGCTTTTTGTCTTACAACATTATGCTTTCAGTAAGTCCAAATGAGCACTAGAAAGAGAGCTCTGAAGTACACCCCAAGCTTAGCACTGCAGAATAGTACACGCTTTCCTGCGGCACATCTAGAGACACACACCTGACTGGGTATTTGCTGTCCTCCTCTGGCTGCACATGAGTCATGCTACTGAAGCATGTGCTTGTGCTGTCACCTCCTGTGAAGCCCTGATTCTCACCTCAGGACTTGCCAACTTCAAAACAGCCAAGTCTGGTTTGTTTTCCCAGCAATAATTGAGCCAAGAGATAATAGGTCATAAGAAACAAACTGAGTAAGTGATCAGGACACATGGGCTGGTCAAAGCAAGTTTCACTGGGATGCCTGAAGAGGACTGGAACTGCAAGAACTCCTGTCTGGCACGCTTTACAGCTACGTTTGCCAACACTTCTGGTTGTGGCCCTCATTTTTTTTTTTCAGCATGCATAATTCCCATTTTTGGATAATAAGCTTCTCTCATTTAACTTCCCAAGAGTCCAGGAAATGCTCAGGTACCCCCCACTCCTTTCTTCTCCTACAAATGATCCACAGGCCCTGCACTGAAAACCACAGCATAGTATGGACCACAAAAGTCTCCGATGCCACAGTGCTGTAGGTGGCAGGCATCATCACGCAGCTGAAGCATGAATTTTTAAAAACATCTATTGACTGCTTAAAAAACAAAAGCAATACAAGTAAAATCCTTTCACACTGCTCAGGTAAAGTATCCGTTTGAGACAATATTGACCTGATTGTATTACCAAAAACCTTCGAGCTACATTTTGAGAAATAAGGATATGACTGGAAACAGTATCCCTATAATGAACAGTTAATTTATAACCACGCTGACAAGAGAGGGCATGATGGGGGTTCAACTCCACTGAAAATATAATTGGAAGAGGGTGAAGTTCTCCAGGCCAAATAATTTCAATCAAGGATCATCTTTGCCCTCTTGTGGGCAAACCTCCCTCCTGCAGCTTCTCAGCAGGTTCCCGTGCAGACAGCGTGAACAATTCAGAATACATTGCTGGCCTTCCCTGTGCTTCCTTCCGCAGGCAAAGAATAGCTATACCGAATCCAGAGAGCAGTCACACCCAAAAACCAGCCAAGCAGTGAACCTTGCTTGGTTCCTGCATTACAGCAGCTCTGGGATAGAGCAGGTGGCCAGTTGTGCTCCTCACTGTAAGGAGAAGCCCATCCCAAAGCAAGGAAACACATGCCTCGAACAATGGATGGACAGACGGCAGCGACCAGGTGGTGCCTGTGCACTCACAAAGAAAAGGCACTGACTACCAGCCCATGTTCTGCCTTGCTGCACTATTCTGATAATTTACAGTAAACTAGTTTGGATTGCACGCCTGAGAAAGGAGTTGCCACGACTTAAACTGCGTGGTCACTATTGGAATTATTAAATCTAGGACTTCTGAGTTACTTTCTCACGGTGTGTAAATCCACCACTGACGTACCCTTTTAATACAACATTTTGCCTCAGTTGTTTTCTTGCATCTGGTTTTCAAATGTAATTAAGAAGCATAAGGGACCTTTTTCTCCTTATGAATCCTTACAGTTACACCCATCTCTGGCAATTTCATCGGAGGCAATGTCACCTTTAACATTACAATATAAAGGAAAATAGACTGTGGCATTCCAATTTCAGTGCCGACAATGAAGGAAATGTCATTCCACTCCTGTGTACCAGATGACCACCAGGTAATAAACAATCTGTAAGATTATGAGACAAAAAAAGTACTACCTTGCCAGAAAGCATACAGGTTTATTTCCTTTTCTTCACCTCCTATAACTGATAATCAGCCAAACAATATTTAAAGGATCCAGCAGCTCTCCCTCAACCAAGTCACTTGGTCACCTGCGTTTTTCTACACTAGAATAAATTGCACTCATCACCTCTTGCTAGGTCATGCTCCTTCCTTTAGTAAGTCTGCCACTTTTTTCAGATCCATGTAATCAATAGGAGAGAGCAGCACTTGGATTGTACTCATCACAGTAACCTCAAGAGCAGGATATGTAAAAGCTACTGCAAACTAGTTTGGCTGGACCCTGTGGTCAGAGGCAATACTGACCTTATCAGACCTTTTCTCCTGGGAACTTTCCATGAGAACATCCAGCTTTGCAAGTTAGACCCTCTTCCCCAGTTAACTGGCAAACACAATGCAAGGTCTTTCCTCTGAACCAGGAACAAAGAATGATGTTATTTCCTGTGGTTGGCTCCAGGAGAACTACATAGCAACACCAAATCATAGAAGCCAAAACAAGAAATGCTTAAGTTATTTACTAATATTTTATTTTAAAAATTATTACAAAATATTTTATAAAGTTCTTTAGAACAAGAAAGCATAATACATTAAAGATCACAGGTTTAAAAGGGAAAAAAAATTAAGCATTTCAAAATTATTTAGATAGAAATTCAAGGCAACACTGGGAACAAAACTGTATAAAATTTTTATTATACATAAAATCATTGCATCATCATTCTGATTTAATAAACATTAAAAATCACTTAAGTTCTGACCAGCATAAAATTTAATATCAAGCAAACTGCTTATGTTTACAGCAATAGACTAAAACAGAGATGAATTTCCATCTTAAAGGCACCACCAGCATCTTGATTCATTAGAATTTTACAGAACCATTCAAAAATTTCATAAAATATTTCCTTCAGTGTAGAAAGCTTGGTATTTTTATTGCACAAATTTGAATGAGGATTACCATGACAGCCATTATGCAAAAACATCTTGTGCTGAGCTCTGAGACTTGCGTGAGATCCCTCACTGCTCTTCCAGGTTGGAAGGTGCAAAGGTAGAACTCAGCTGTAACACACCACAACCCTTCCCTGCTGTTGTGAAGCACAGAGTGCAGGCAGTAAGGCACAATTCCTTCCTGTACTCAGAACCACAAGGCACTGGTAGCACTGTGATTTTAATGCAGGCTAAATGCCAAACACAAAAATTAACGTTCACAATCTATACAATGCCCGATGGACATTTTCAGAGCAGTAACTCACAGTCCAGTCACTGAACAAGTCCTCATGCGTCCTGGAGAATCCTCTCCACTGATTCTCAAGGCACTGTAAACAAAGCCTGAAAGTGGGTGCAGAACCTTTAAATATTTTTGGATGGGCTCAGCTGGAAAACACTGAAGCTTTTATGTGTCTGAGCAGGCTTGCAACACCACTGCCAAGCAGTGTGGTGAAGAATGGAGAAGACAATCCCCAGACAGATGTACTGGGCCAGTTGCTTCTTTCCACAGGTTTTACTACCAGTTATGATGTACAGAGATGGTTACTTTGCAGAATGAAGAAGAAATTTGAGACAGTTGCCTCTAACAGCACTTCTGCCAGCGTTCCCACCACTCTCCTTAAGAATCCCTAAACCACTTAAGTCAAAATCAGCCACCTTAATGGAGACAATTTAAATAGCTGGTTTAAATAAGGTAGACAGATTTCATCAGAAGCAGGCTGGGAAACAAGCAAACCACTTTGCTGACAGAGCATGGGAGGGGTAAGAGACATCCAGCCACATGCAGAGCTCCTGCAGAACCAGACATTTAATGTGGCTCCAACAGCATTCTCTAGATCAGTCTAATTAAAAGGCAGACGTATAAAGCCAGCATCTGACACCAGCAGCATCAATGGGGGCATGTCCAGACTGCAGAAGACCAGGCTGCTCAGCCACTGCAGCAAGAAAGCCTGGAAGGGCAAAGGAGCAAGGAGCAATAAGGAAAGCTAAGAAGATATAGGAATCTGATAAAGCATTTAAGAAAATGACTTAACAGAAGCAGGGAACAGCATACACACTAGCAAACCTGCTTCTCAACTACTTAAAAAAAAAAAAAAAAAAACCAAAACCAAAAAGAGCCCTTTATGAGGTGTTAGGATTAAGAAAAGAACACCTGATGAGGAGCCTAGGATTAACAGTACCAGCATGCATGTTAGCCAACAACTGGTTTGAAAGCAACAGTTTAGCAACTGCCTTATACCTATAACCAGTATGTGACTTGCTTGTAGTATTTAACTACTATGTGACAGATTACTGCCAGGTAAACTGCCAAGGCAGAGAGATTACTATACAGATCGCTTTTGGTAACAGTATCTCCAGGTCAGGAGTAACACAGCACTTTAGGTGGGGAAAAGTCTATAGAAAAAGCAAGCAAATCTCACACAGCTACTAACGTATTTTCGAGCTGAGAAAAATTACAGAAAAAATTAACTCAGGATAAAAGTCATGCCATAGTGCTGCATTGCTTAATAAATATCAGCAGCACAGTGTTGCTCTTACACTATATTTACAGCTATTAATTACAGATGAAGATTTAGAGACTATAATTTTGATGTGAAAGCAAATTCAGTAGAATCCTAGGCAATAACAAAGCAAACCAGACACACTCCCCTTCAAATGTTAATCACACAGGCATGATCCCCAAAGACAGACATTGCAGATCATAGCAGAGATATTCCTCACTATGGATGTTTTGTATCATCTGTAACACCACTTGTAAACAGACCAGACCTAAGCTACACAGTTATCAGAGATAGCTACAGTTCTGTACACCTATGCTGAGATCAGGTTTTAGTGCAAATGAAGACTAATAAATACAAGGGGACAAAAGCCAGTCTGAAGAGCATTTCTTCTTTACAATACAGGAAATTCTATGAAGGAAATGTCTCTTTCATCCATAGGTCTGAAACCAAACTACAGGTTTAACTTGGTGCTTCACACCACCCATCAAAATTTTACATCTTCCAAGCAAAGAGTAGTGTCAGGCTTAAGTCTCAGGCCATAGAGGGAGAACATCACAAACTCACATTCATCAGAAAGTGTCAGCAATGGAAAAAATCTTTGACCTGCTATTACAGTCCTTTGTCTTACAACGGCTTCTTCTTCGTTTCCCAAATACAGCTTGCTCAACCAATTTCTGGGGGGCTTAGTTTCAGTGCTGCCACAAGAGGTTACAGGACTATGAACATGTCAGACTAGGGTAGTGATGAAATGGACTTAATGCCTGGAAGACATGGCAAATGTCATGAGCACTCAAACAAGAATTGTTTTTGCATAATCAGCTTTTTCTCATTTGCTTTGGTATTTGGGAACATCTCCTGGCTTACAGCAGTTTGCTCTGCTTTTGAAGGCTTTCCTCTTAGGAGAGGTGTAGCAACTTGCTTCTACCTCAGACATCTGAAAAATGCTTTTGCACCACTTAATTTCTTTTAGAGCCATCGACATCTGGTCTGACACATCCATCACTTGTCTGATACTTGTCACATCAGTAGTGTTTCTTGCAGACCTACAGACTGTCACTTCCAAAACAAATCGAGGATAAAAGTGCTTATTTACCTGTTTACCAACTGAGCTAGTCAGTAGCAAGAACTCTCAAGGTACTGCCACATATTTATAAACACAGAAAATAGTGAGGTACATAACCATTCTGGCAGAAGTCAGCATTATCTGTGCATAGACAAGCTGCATATGTATTAACCTTGCAAGCAACATTCACCAGGATAGTACCAATGGGCTGTAAAGTTTTTCCCACTGATATTCTAACTTCTACTTTTGGGGTTGATTCATGAAAATATTTAATTTTTTATCTTATTCTTCTCCCAGCTGGCTTTTCAAGTTTCTTCCTGCAACTTTTATAGCTTTTCAAACCATCTCAAAGAAGATTCTGGCATACAAGTCCAAACTTTGACAATCATGGGGTGCAAAACTGTCTCCTTAATATACCATTTACATTACCCTCCCCATAAAACCCCTACAGTCACTATTCCATTAAACTGATCTCCACAGACAGAACTGAGACACAGGAATAGTAAAAAAACCCAACCCCCCCTTAAGTAAGGATAAGCATTTCTGTAAGGTTCCAACTAGGTATCCCTTTCACATTCAGTTTGACTAAGTACAGAAGTGAATTTTGCTGTTCTAATTTATAACTCACACCAGAGGCATCTGGTCCATTTATACAGAAAATATCTTTAGGCTATATCTCAGAATTTATGCCTCAGGCATTAACCTTTTTTAGTTACCTCTGCCAAAATCAAATCAGCACATTGACTGGGTGTTGTCCTTAAGTTATTTTAGTTAGACCCAAGGTTGTTTAGTGCATGTCACCTGGGCAGGTGACAAGACTAGTCATTGAGCAGGACCAGTTACCTCAGAACATCATGCTCAAGATGCCATTACTTGACCTAAGGATCTATCAAAATTTGTGATGAGCGACGTGTACAAAATCGACTAGAATTAAGAGACAGAAGTTGTTACCTACAGTGCACTGAAAGTTCATTTAAGTTTGCTCCATTTGAAAAAAAAAAAAAAAAAAAAAAACCAGTTTCTTGAAGTTAGGTTTTTTTATTCAGTGGCTGGTTTTCTGTGGCACTCGGAGTGTTACGAGGATTTTCAGACTGTCCAGCGACGTTTTGTTTTCGCCTGTGAATGTACTGTATAACAAATTCTACTACAAATGCAATACTTGCAAGAAATCCAAATATCTGTGAAAGTAAAAGAAATATGGGATTTTAAAATGCATAAAATCAGTAACAGTATCCTAACACTATCTGGAGAGATTTGCTGGACCACTTGCATACATTAATAACACTTACATATTAAGATTACAGTCCTCCTTAAATTGATAGTTCCATTTAAATTAGAAACAGATCAGCATTCATAATTCTAGTACACTTAATGCAGAAGTTTTTCCAGTTTTCATTCTTTTAATCATATTTTTAATAATAAAATATATTAATTTTATTGCCAAAAATCAGTTATTAAAGCACCACAGCATTGATGATATAGCAGAGTATTTATCCAAGAGATGGCTGCTGATTGAAGAAAGTAAATAAAGACGAGCAACACATGGAAGGTGAAGGGAGATGAGGTCTGTAGACCCTAAGCAAGTCCTTACTGGGTCAGCAAGGGAGAACAAAAAGACATTTTGTGAATGACATTTTGTTCCTAGTCTTGGCAAGATAGTGGTAAGGAGAAAGCTGTTATTAGTTGCTTCTTTCAAACAAGGAAACAAACATATGCACTATTCTAACTCTACCTAAATTTTACACAACTAGTTTGGCCCAAAGCAATTTGATGCCAGTAAGTATTAAATCACAATAGTTTTTAATTTTTCGTGCACAAGGAAAAAAAAAAAGCAAACCTGAAAGACTTTACTCTGAAACTATGACATCTAAATATATGAACATCACAGAAGAGAACTATACAAAAATGTGCATCTCTAGTAGCTCATCCTGCCTGTGGAACAGGATTATCATACTTTCTTTTCTAACTCCTTTTTTCTCGTTCAAGAATAAAATCAAAATGTGATGTTTTAAACTAAAATATTCACAATTCCAAGATTATTCAAAAGAAGTGCCAAATGACTAAGGAATTATGACATCCACAGCATCCCAAAGCCTCTTCAATACCTTGCATGCCCTAACTATTTCTGTCACTGAAGAAAATGCTGCTTTTATTGCAGCCTTTGCAAGTCAGCATTGTCCACATATGCTTTGTAACACCTGGCAAAAGACAGGGTTTCTTGCTGACTTCATGAGCAGCATTACGACGGGGCAACTGAGGGGGGAAAAAAGGAGTTTCAGAAGCAGGGTATCAGAAAATTGAGGAAGCTGCAAAAGATAACAACACTGAAACAGCAACAGATGACAGAAAATAAAATAAGTCCAAGAGAGCTTCCCAGCAGGAAAATACTGGGGAGCTGCAAGTACACACAGACCTTTCCAGCAATCCTTAGGAATGCCTGCTCTTAGGATTTCCTATGTTAAGTTTCTGGAAGTTCTGAAATAGTTAATTCCCCCTGAAACATAATGCACTGAGTTCTATTCCTTGCCTGGTTTCTTCCCTGCAAATCAAGTGAAGTTTAGAGGGCAGAGAAATTAACATACCAGATAAATACAAAGTAAATCCTGCTATTTTAAGACTTACACATGCAGCATGTTCAATAGCAGAGCCAGAGCTGGTCACAGCAAACACTATTGATGCTATCAAAAACCAGGCAGCTATGACTGGCATGGCCCAAAAATTCTGCAAATACAAAAAAAAAAATGTTATTGAATTGTAGACAGGTTACCTGAAGAGAACAAACATCATAACAGCAGCTGAGTTAATCTGCCAGTGAATTTATGTTTTGAAACTTCATGCTAATGGAATCTTCAGAAAATATATTTTACAACTACATTCCAAACCACATTCAACATTATCAGCTATTTAGACAACATTTTCAGATATTTAAGTCTCGCCCGTTTTTTTCTTTTTTAAGTATTTAATTAATCTAACCTAACTTTTTTCACAATCAAATTCAACCTCGGGACAACCATACTAGCATTATTCCCTATGTGAAACATTTGGGAATTTAGAAACCTCTAAGTAAATGTGCTCATTCAAATCTTTTACTACACTCCCTTAACTTTACCTTCACATAAAAACCCTACTGTTCTCTCTGAAGGCAAGGAGGAAGGGGCACTTGTAAGATAGTATAATGTTCTTACTGACTTTACAGAGCAACATTCTCCCACTGCTGGATCTTCTGACATATAAAACCATAAACCGTAACAAATATGATCATTACCAAAAAGGAGATAGGCTACACCCAGTAGGAAAACAGATAGGGTAAACTGATAAATTACAAGCATCATGCTGGCAGTGAACTTTATTCTGTATACATACATATATGTGATGGCTAGACAGCAGTATTAGTCTGTGTGAAAGACTTTCACACAAATCCTAAAATCCTGCAGGTAGCCAACATGACAGTTTTGGAAAAGTTGTCAATATAAGAGGGAGTCTCAAAGTTTGGTCATTTTTTAAACTACTTTAATCTACCCTTTAAATGGAGAAGAAAAGGAGATTCATTCTGCATAGCCTTTTTACTCCACAGCAGTCTTTATGCACTTTGTTTTAAAAAAAAACCAACAAATTTCCTTACCAGTTTCTCTACTTTATCTTCCCCCAGTGTTTCATATACATCAGTGCAATACACACACAGAACCAGGAGGCTTAAAAGAAAGGCACTGCAGCTAGTGAATTCAAAGAAGTAAAGTCCACCACAGTTGCTGCAATCCTCCACAATTTCTTCACAAATAACAGCCGCAAAGGAGAAAAGCTGCAAACAAATAACATGCTTGAGTTGGGGCAAGTCTCTAATATGTTCAGCAAACAGACATCTCTGATATGAACATCAATAAAGACAGCCATGAGGAAAATCGTCAATCTACAAAAAGTCTGGTAAAATGCTGCACTATTTTCTTACAGGCAGAAATAATTATATAATGACACAGCTTACACTTGCCGCTAAAGGTGGTTGATAAACTGCACTCAGGTAAGCTGAGCACACTGCCAAACACAAGTTTCTGGATTAGACAGTCAAGATTCCCGTTTTGTGGTTTTGTGCAACTGCCAGTTGGAAGCAGACAAGGAAGGCAGCCACGGGGAGCACACATCCTGCTCAGAACAAGTAAAAATGCTATTGCTTACTACTTACAGCTGCACTCAGTTTTAAATGCACTTGGGTTCAGGGAAGTGGGGGAAACTGGGCAGCACTAACACACTCAGCTACCTCCCTAATAGTTTACAGCTGATGTTCCCTTGCTCGATAAAACTTCAGTGAAGGTACATGGAGCCAACATGTTTATGACCCACTAACAGCAGAAGTTCAACTATTCCTGTATGAACCAAAACTTCAAACTATGTTTAAGCTACACTGGACAATGTTTAATCTATGCAGAAGCTTATCTTCACCTTCCTGCCACAGTAGGTTTTGAGGAAAGAATATGAGTTAATTACTAACTGCTGGATTTTCTACTATGTTATTGTACAAGAAAGAATATTGCTTTATTTAACTGTGCTCTTATTTTGGCCACTTCTTGCTAATTCCCTTCATCCCATAAAGTTGATGCAGCTTTATAGATCCTTTTAGTAAGGAGTTCACCAAATTGTAACAAAACCATTAACAGGAATCAGACTTGGTCATAAAACTGAGACTGATATAAGGATGATGATCATACTTTTAATATAAGTACATGAACAATAATGAAGTTGACAGTTCTTTAAAACAAAAAATCAAATTCTAAAATTCAGAATTCTTGGAAAATAATCATTGGTCTTAGGTTTCAGTTTTCTAACAGTAAAAACAAGAACAACCATTCAGCAGCAGGATCTGTAAATTCCCCCTGCTAAGCCAGACCTCAGAAGGGCACTTCAAAGAATGATGTTTTGAAAATGCTACAATCATATAATGTAAACAGGAGCTCTGAAAGGGAAATAAGCTGAGCTGGGAAACTGCAGAATTACTATTGGGCCGCTACTTTCTTCCCTTTTCTCCTGCAGTGGCTGGCAACACAAACTTCTCAGCAGCCCTCACACCTAAAACAGTGACTACAATGGCTGTCCCAGGAATGTTTTGAATTCTGAATTTCCAATTTTTATGAGGTTTTTTTTTGCATTTAAAAAGATCTGCGTCCAATGACTTTCAATTGCACATTTTTCACAAGGTCAGTTATGAGAAATGTTTTCATGTGCAGTGCTATCTCTTTTTAGGAGCACTGAAAACTGAATGCCATTGCTTTCACCTGGGCTGAAACAGAACAGACAGCAAATAAACCCATCCTTAAATGGAAGTGTAAGTCCAGATAACCATAATATGACTTAAATAACTGAAAAAAGCCTCACCACTGAGTGTACAAACAAGCTGAAAAAAATCCCACTCAAAGAACAGTTTTAATGTTAAATACATGAGATTTATCAAGTGGAATCCTGTGTGGGGTTTGTCCAAGTCAATGTTCAATTTTTTATTAATAAGCTGAATAATAAAATAGAGCATATCAATAAAAAAAAACTTTGACTGGAAGAACTTTAATTAAGTTCTTTGATTAAGTTGGTGTACCAATAGCACATTTATAAGATGCCAGAGAGTTCTGCTTGGGTTTCTTAATTTCCTTCTTGATACCACTATCAGAAACAAAAGGAATTATTCTGTTGTCCTACTTAAAAAAAAAAAAAAAAAAAAAAAAAGCTTTAAATACCAAAAGCATTGTTAGAGAAGCAGTTGTTTTGTTTTGTTGTTGTTTTTTTAAATTTTATTATTAGTCCTATCTGTCTGTAGGTACACCAGAAATTAAACAGCTTTATCTGTCCCTTACCAGCAAGAAGTTATTCATAGATACTGACATTAATGTTGGAGTTTTCTAAACAAGTGTCAGGTTTGTAAAGGAGATTTAATAAGTGAAAAGCTACAAAAGAATACTACAAAAATAGAGCAGATCAATGCATGTGCTATCAGGCCTGTGAAGATGCTCAGCAGTGGTGTTCCCAGCACAAAATCTTCTAGTTCAGATGGGTGGACATGCTAATACCCCATAGTCGGGGCTACTATAGCAAGTGAACAGCTCAGAAAAAGAGCAGATATTTAGGGCTGAATTACAATTTTCCTTTCCAGTTAGGGTATTTTGGTTAAAGTCAACCAATAGCTGATAACAACTATTTCTCTTTTAGATAAGAATTTGTTTCTACCTCAGTCTTGGCACAATACACAATGTGCCATTTACCTTTGTGCAGAATTTGAACCAGCCAGGGACTAACAAAAACATTCCACCTATTTAAAAACAAAACAACAACAATCTAGAAACCCATGCAATAATGTGCCTCTCAGCATCCTTTTGGCATTCACATTTTCCTTATTTCATCTGCCCAAAAGAACAGGCTAAGGTTACAACATATGCCATTTTTAATCTGAAAAAAAGTATTTCTTAGGTCTAGAAACCAGTTTTCTGCAGGTGATTTCACAGTATTTCATCAAACACTTGATGACTATAAGGAGGAGAGCTCATTTTCTGATTGCAATACCCAGTTTGGCAGAGTGATTACCCCAGTAAAACCACTATTGCAACATAGAGCTAATAGATGTTAAAGACCATCACTGGGATTTCCAAAAATCAACGCTTTCCCAAAACTGGAACCTTTTTCTTACCACAGAGACTGAGGCTTCCTTCTACCTTCTGGAATTTCTGGGGTTTGTTTAAAGTGTTTTAACCAAGAACATCAAGATCTGTGCATTTTGATAAAGGGTTACAAAAAGGGAGTGGAAAATTGTTGGAAATTATGAGGGTGAACAACTATAACACCATCTTCTTTTTCCTCTCACTGACAGATGGGTGCAGGCCATAAACTGCTAATTATTTAGGAGCATATCGAACACCTATTCCTCCTGTTTAGAATGATAATTTTTCTTCTTCCTATCTAGAAAGTTTTATAAATAATTAAACAGTTTAAGACTTTGGTACACTAGTAAATTTGCATATGTAATCACTTATTTTATTTTAGTCAATGAACCCACCTATTTAAATGATCTGTTTATCAGGGAGCAACAGCCAGCAGATCTTACTTTATTAATCTCCAGTAGATGAAGTAAAAGTTTATGTCCTGTTACGTTTATTGAAAGCATTCTTAGGTGTGATTTTTTTTACACACTCTTAGAAAACTTCATTTTTGGCAGCATTACCATTACCTTTACCGGCATTGAAGCATATTATGCCTTTGGTTGAGGGTTTTGACTGTGCATGAGAAGTTTAAAAACCAAATGTCCTCTTTTCTGCAACGGTAAAATAACAAGAAAGGGTTGGAAATCACCTACAATTCCCGTGAGCATGACACATCTGACTGAAAAGCCACTGTGCTGGCTGCAAAATGTACAGTGACACACATTTACAGTCAGCTGCCCTTTTCCACTACTGGTTTCACTACCTCCCTGCCAGTACTTGAGAATGATGCTCCTCACGTCCTTATCAGCAGCCACACTGGAACATTCTGGAAGAGCCCGTCGTCAGGTACAGAACAAACAGGAGTTTGAACCGCGAGCCCAACTTCTTAATGTGTTCAGGAAAAACATTACATGAACCAAAACAAGCAGAACATAAGCCTTTTATTTCCTGTTGGGCCCCGGACTGCCTGACATGAAGTGATGCCACCATCTACACTAGACTTTTCTGGTGGAATTTTCTATCACAAATTATGGGAGAAATGAGCACCCTGGTTTTAGCACAGACAGCGCAGAGTAACAGGCTTATAAATGGGCTGCAGGAGCAGCAGGAGAGGGAGGTGCGGATATCATGATCCAGTAAACCCTTCCCGCTTATACTGCCCTATGGTGAGGTTCAACCAAAGGCTTCTACCTCCTGTTTTCATCCAACGTGACCGTCAGAAGAAAATACTAAGTTTCCTGTGAGATTTTCCTCAGATTTTAAGCCAGAGGAGGTGGTTTTTAAAGCCAACAGGCAGCTGAACCAGCACCGCGCCTCGGCCGCACGACGCCGAGGGCCATCAGACGTCAGCACCTACTCCTGTAGCTCGGACATGGAAAAGGAACACTCCCGCCATTTCCCCACCATGAAAGACTCTGAGCCTGCATTACAGGGCATCACGCCGGCTTTTCACCTGAGTTACAAGTCTGCACAGCTTCAGTGACGGCATGCCACGTCCCAAGCCAGGACATCTTCCCGGCGGAGCCCGTGCTTTCCTAACCGACAGGAGCCCTTCCCACGAAGGCTGTGCACGGCCACCTCCCCAGCCTGCGCTCGGCCACTGACTTTAATTTTTAAGCGGCGGGGGACTACCCTAAAGCCGAAGGTCATCCCAACACGTTCGTTTCCATCCCAGCGCGGGGCACCACGGTGGTCCCCGCCCGCTGCTCGCCCCCGCCCCGCCGCCCGCGGGGCTCAGCCCGCAGCCCCGGGCAGCCATTCTGCCAAGGGGATGCTGCCTCCCCGCCAGCCCGGCACGCCCCGCAGGACGAGGAGGGCACTCACCGCCTGGACCGCCTTGGCCGGCAGCCGCCACCCCGGCAGGTGCCGCAGGGTGCAGCCGAAGGAGCGCCGGCGGGACGGCTTCGCCTCCGGCTCAGTGGTCTCGTTGTAAACGGCACCGTTCTCCATGGCCGGGACGGGCTGCCGGCTGTCAGCTGGGAAAAAGCGAAAGCAAAAGGGCGGTGTTGGCGGCGGCGGGGGCGGTGGGAGGGACAGGGAGGGAGAAGGGGAAGGCGGCGGGAGGGGCTCCCGGCGAGGCGGCGGTTGGAGCCGGCCGTTGGTCCCGGCGGGACAAAGGCGCTTCCTGCGGCGCGCGCCATGGCTCCCCCTGGCGGCGGCGGCCGCGGCCGGCGTGTGAGGGGCGGGCGGCGGCGAGGGCCGGGACCGCGGGGCATCCCTCAGGCCCAGGTCTGTGCACAGTTCTGTAAAGTTTACGATATTGTCCACTCTTCAGTTGTTACACGAAATTACAATATCAGAGGGGCTTTTTAAACCAAAGCTTTCCCATGTCAACTAGACCATGGCACTAAGTCCCATGTCTCCAAGTCTTCCCTCAAACACATCCAGGGATGTGATTCCACCACCTCGCTGGGCAGCCCATTCCAATGGCTGATCAATCTTTCTGTGAAGAAATTCCTACTAATGTCCAACCTAAACCTCCCTTGGTGCAGTTTAAGACTACAACCTCTTGTCCTATTGCTGATTGCCTGGGGGAAGAGGCCGATCACCACTTGGCTACAACCTCCTTTCAGATAGTTGCAGGGAGCAATAAGGTCCTCCCTGAGCTCCCTCTTCTCCAGGCTAAACAGCCCTGGCTCCCTCAGCTGCTCTTCATAGGCCCTGTGCTCCAGACCCTTCACCAGCTCTATTGTCCTTCTCTGGACTCGCTCCAGCTCCTCAATGTTCTTCCTGAATTGAGAGGCCCAGAGCTGGTCTCAGTAATCGAGGTGTGGCCTCACCAGTGCTGAGTGCAGGGGAAGAATCATTCTCATTGAAGGCATTTTTTGTTGTCAATGAGAGAAAACACACACATCCCCAAGCCTATCCTAATATACTCCCTTACCTTTGCCCAAATCAACTTTTAAAAGAAGCTGAAGCTCTTGGTGCCTACTAAGAGTAGATTAGGCCTGTTGCGTGTAAGTGCAAGTGTGTTACATTCACTTGTATATTATTATCCACATAATCTATTATGGTCCTTCATAGTCAAGTTTAGTTATACTTCACTTACCTAAATTCAGTAAAATTTAATCTACTAATTAGATCTACTGGTAAGAAATCTGAGAGAAATCTACTCATAGAAAATATGGTTTACTTTCTTAACATTAGCTGTGTAGGAACAGATTCCCCCCCTTAGGGAGATCAGGCTGCTCAGACGGTTCTTTTGGAACCACGCGGTGCAGTGGGAGTGTGTGTGCTACACGAGGTAGGGGTCTCTGTAACTCTGTCAAAGCCCCCATTAACTGGACAGATGCAGTAGAATGGGCCAGATGAAAACAGCTGGGCCACGCTCCATGCTGAGTGCATACCAGCAGTCTGTTTGCCTGACTTCTCACGGTAAGACAACACAAGCCCGGGGAACATATGGTGTCCCCAGGCAGATGGTACAGACTTGTCTGTGCCATAAACAATGCTTGGCTGCGGGAATTGGCTTGAGAGGCAAATGACTAGGGCAAGTCCTGTAATTCCCAAGGCATGGGAGTTTCCGCTAAAGTAAGTGAGGTATCACCATGGGTGTGCCCTAGCTTCTGCCTGGAGTTGGAATGAATCTAACATAGCTCTGCTGGCAGCATCCCAGGCTACAGGACTGAGCAAGTAGGTGTAGTCAGACACATTTACTGTTACTGCTTATAAGTCCTCAGTGCCTTCATTACCTTTTTTTTACACTATATAAGTGTACACATTATAAGTAAGATTATGTGACAGAGGCCGGCATCTCTCTTCTGAGGGAAATTCCCATTTAGTTTTGTTTTATTCCTTGATAATATTTCAAAACTGGTTGAATAACTCCAAAGCCACAAAGCACATGTCAAGGCTACGCTGTGGTCTGAGTGGGACAGGACTTAACCAAGATAGAAGCAATTGTCAGCTCTCTTAAGATGTTTGGTAGCATTAAAGGCTATTTTGTAATTGTTCCCTTTTGAATCTTTATGAATGCTTTCATGCAGCATTGCTAGGTTACTGTCAGAGATGTTAGTACTGAAGACAACTGTCTTGAGGACAACCTGCTTTCCAGGAGCCACAGAAACACGAGACAAGCCTACAAAAGATAATATAGATGACAACCTCTTTCAAGTTACTTCTGTCTTTAGAAAGAGTTGGTTTCCTGTTTAGGCCTTCTGCAGGAAATTTGTATCAATGATGCATGAATGATAAAGGTTAGCGTGCCATTTAAAGACTAACTTATTGAGGCCACTTTATTTATTTATGTATAAGGAGACACGGGAAAAGCAAAATAACAGCAAGGCCACGGGAACTGTATGTTCTTATGACAGAGAAGAAATGAAAACTGGACAACAGCATAGGATCTGACAGCTTAAAAATACTTAAAGCATGATGTTAAATCATACCAATGCTGCTCTTCACAGAGGTGCAGCAGGTGTTCCTCACCCTTTTCATCAGCACTATCTTTCAAGTGCAGTTTCTTTCCCTTAAATAGGGAATCAAAATAACGGTTACAATACATAACAATTATGTTTAATGCAAATAATAGTAACTGGCTGGCTGTGATGTGGTGGAAATCCCATTCCAGATATGCATCCATTAGTTTCATTTATGTGCTACATCTGACAGTTTTCCACATAGAGAAGTCTTTCTTACCCCACCACAGCCTCTGCTGGAATGGCAGGACCAGAGCTAAAGGCAGGATTTGGTGGCAGAGAAGCAGCCTTGCAGTTATATGCTGAACTGTGGTAACATCTCCAGTCAGCCAGGCAAAGTGGGAGATCGGTGGAAGCAGATTAGTGATGAGTGACCTAGTTTTCTCCCTCATTACATCTTCTCCAAGATACCCTCCATAGTGACCAAAAAGCAATAGCAATTAAGTTGAGAAAGCCACCTCATTAGGAGAGACTGCAGTGTATACAGTATAGCTGCATGACAGTTGCTACTTCTTGCCCCCAGTGTTGAAATAATTTACAAAAAAGTGTGAGAGAAGCACCTTTAAACAGTTGCGTAAATGCCAGACACCACACTAAGGTGGATTCAGGCCATGCTGCATCACTGTTTTCATCAAGTGAACCCTGGTGGCTCTTTGGCACTATCTGTGTGCTGTGTTACAGCGTGATGCTAAAGCCTGAGTCCCTCACACTCAGAATTGGCAGCAGGGCTCCACTGACCTCATGAATGAATGTTCTCCTTTCCCCATGTTCATAAATGCAGTTGTGGGACTTTTTGTTTTACTTCTCAGAGGGCGAGGGAGAAGGAAGTAGAGAAATGGGAAGGCAGCTTAAAAGCCCAAACCACCAAAGGAGACAGACTTGGTTTCATTGTAAGAGCAGTGAGGTTTATTGCTGCTGCACAGTCTGGGGAACTTCACTGCAAAGAGCCTGTCAGAGGAATGTCTCTCTCCTTGATTTTGATGTTCTCACATAGGCCTCTCAACAGCTTTTGTTCATGGCTACCACTGTGTATTACATGAAGCAGAATATTCCAAGCACTGCAACAAATTGCTCAGACAAGACTTGAATGTGTTGCATCCACTGAAGCTTCTTCAGCTCTTAAGACTCTATTTTGGGGCTCAGTATTGCAACTGAACTTCACAAACCCCAATCACCATACTAACATGCTAGAATGTGTGATGTTTAAACAGCTGAAGAATTAACCTTTTAAACAGCTATTTCTAAGTATCCCTTATGGCACAAGAGATGAAAACCCCCCAGATTCCCACATTTCCCAAATGCAGGACTAGGCCAACTCATGTCAGTGGTTTTCTATGTGCATCTGCATGGCACAGAGAGGAATTAAGCCATGAGGTATTCGATAGGCAACAGTTCTGCAGCTGCAGGTGTCCCACTCCAAACTTTTTGCTCCCCAAGAGAAGAAAACAGCTTGCTGCTTGCATTTCAGATGTATCACTAGAAATGTAAAGTTAATATAGTAGCTACTCCATATAACCTAAGGTCACGTACATATTTCAGAGACTGCCATTTTCAGCTGAAAAATATGACCTGTCTGGAAATATAGTGGCCATTTACTCAAAAATTTCAAGCTTAAAATCTGCAGAACAGCTATATTATAAATAGTGTACTAAAAAGAACTGATGTAGGAACAGGGTAAAGAGAAGGAGGAAGAGGCAATTTATGAAATTCCCCTGAAACAGTTTAGTTTGAAGCTAATCGGCTCCTTGCCTACACAGAACTAGCCCTGAAAGTCTAAAGGAATTTACTTATCATAGCATTTTTTCCAGTGTTCATACTGCAAAGCATTTAAAAAGTATTGTTATTAAAATTGTCCGCTGTAGTTCTTGTATTACCTCTTTGCTTTTTGCATCTGATGTGCTAGTCTGAAACTTTGTACTTTGCACTAAAGTATTACAGGCACACAAGAGTGATTAGAAGCAAAATTAAGGTTATTCATGCTGTTACTCTTCTAAAAATGGGGTAATCGTAGCCCCTCTCAACCTAGAGCAAGAAGGCACAGTGACGGATTATGCGGAAGTATCCTTGCCAAACTAGCTTCACTTTTACCCAGTTTATTTAGTTTGGTGCCCAACTTGATGGGGAACGAGGGATAACAGGAAGTAGGATTTATTTGCACCACATTTTGCAAAAAGGGCCTTTTGCCAGAGACTAGTTTTGCACGATAGTTTTGGTAAATCCCACCTTAATTTCCTACTCTCATGACAGTGGTAGTTGGGGGAATTGCAGCTCAAGAGGACAATTCACCACGGAAATCTTGGTCCCATCAGGGGGAAACAAGAAGCCAAAGCCAAAGCCATCAGGTTACACGGAAACATTCTCAGATGTTTTCCTTTCGCAGTAAAGAGACCTTATTTTTTTTTCCTGCAAACAGCATGAGCAGGCTGTAAGAAGATAGTGATGGTGGTATTAAAAGAATTAGAACTTTAAAGAGAGAAGCAGGCTGCTTTAGTCTTATGGACTGAAAAGGCATGGTAGGGAGACAGCCTTTTTCAAAAAATAGTAAAAGAAAATTAACCAAAAAAACTCAGAGCTATTGGTGCTTGGGGAAGAAATAAATTTAGAAGCTTTAAATGCACAGAAGTGACATTTGTTTAAAGAAGTGAATTTATAATGAGTCATTAGTAAGG